GTGATCTTTCTTCAGATCTGATTTCGGTTAGCGCCGGATACGGCACCAATTTGTTGGAAAAAACGCCGAATGCACCGAGACGCTCGTTGAAGGAATTGTTGCCAGAGGTGTCGGAGAAAGCATTGAGCCTCATCAGCAATCTTATAGTATTCAATCCTAATCACAGATTAACCGCTGTAGAGGCTCTGGAACATCCTTATGTGGCCGAGTACGTACGTTGTTCTCTCTCTTCTCTTTCTCTCTTTCTCTCTCTCTCTCTCTCTCTCTCTCTCTCTCTCTCTCTCTCTCTCTCTCTCTCTCTCTCTCTCGCAAAAAAAGAGAAAAAGAGAGAAAAAGAGAAATAAATTGATCTATCCATTAACGACGTTATTCGTTTCGCAGTTTTCACAGAAGAAGCAACGAACCGGAAAGAGGTTCGAGCGTGGTACCTCTGCTCAGGGACGATGTACAGCTCTCCGTCGACGAGTACAGAAATAAGCTTTATTCGATGATGGACGAGAAGCATCGCAAGCATAAGAATATGTATGTATATATATATATCGATACTTTATCATGATAAACGATTATTACTATAATTTAAACTTGATGTATCGATCGGAATGTATTAACAGGTCTAAGTCCAGAATCAGGCGATTATCGGAGCACATCAGGAAGGAAACAGTTAGTAGTAATAGTAACCCAGTTATCGGTCAAGGCGACGCGATTGTTGGTAAAAATCTTACACACTCATATCAAGATTTACGTAAGGAGAGAGGTAGAAGCGACGCATACGAGCCCTCTTACGTAGAAGGTACGTTGTTTAGAAACGATTTAATGTTCGGACCGATTGATTAATCGAGGGGAGAAACGTGTGAGAAATCGTGCTCTTTACTTTTAACGCAGTACGTTCGCAGCTGCCAAGCAAAAAGACGACACGGCATTCGCAAATTTTTAGTGATGAAAGAGTTACGAAGACGAGATCGATAACTATGGAGATGCAGACGCAAAATCCAAAAAATCTTCGACCACCTGGTAAGTGGTATTAAATAGCAATTGATGCTTTGGGCAAAAATTGGAGAATTTGACGAATCTTTTTCTTTTTTTTTTTTTTTTTTTAATATCCACCAGTTAAAAATGTGGCAACTCAGTACACGCACAACTTTGTGAACGGCAATCTGACTAATTTGACACCGAGCACGACCAAAAGCTGTTTATATCTGAATCAACAACACCGACCATTATCCAAATCTCAACGTTCGATACAATCCGATCAACCAGTGGTGGTAAGAGAACAGAGAATTTCTTTAAAAAAAAAAAAAAAAAAAAAAAAAAAGAATCCTTTACGTCTCTTCTTTCTTTATACTTGCGCATAACTCCCGTCCTTCGCTTAAAAGTAAAAAGACGATTCTGTCGTTACAGGCTACGTGTCGCGTGGGATTCATTTAGGTACCGTAATCATTTATACAGTGTCACAAATCACTGCTTCTCGCACGTTAACTCGACACGTTATCTTTCCCATACTCGAAATTAAATCGTATCAAATTCGCTTCACCCGTTCAATTCACCTTCGTCCCCGATACGTCTCTGCTCCGTTTCCATCTAATTTCACGTTTCATTCACAATTCGACACCGCATTCTTAATCCGTATCGATTTTTCTTTCTTTCTTTTTTTTCTTTTTCTTTTTCTTCTTTTCTTTTCTTCTCTTTTCTNTTTTTTTTTTTTTTTTGACAATTTGACAATTTCAGTGCGCTCCTGGAAAAAGAGCGAATCAAGCAGGATCTAGCAATCGGGACAAATTGCGAAGGAATAACAAACAGATCCGCACGACAAATCGACTCGCGTCCGAGACGAATTGGCGCGAGGAGGATCGGCAGAGGACTTCGTTCGGTTACGAGAATCCGAAGGGGCCGCAGACGAAGTACTTTGCGAGGACGCCTGACAGCACACCCTCTTATTACCTTAAGTGTCACAGCACCGTCAACAACAAGAATAACGCAAACAACAGCACCGAATCTTTGTACAATACTTACCATCCCACCGTGAAGAATTTAGCTATCCGAAACTACTTGAATCAGACGATACCATCGCGCGTGGAAGAGCAAACCCAGTCGTTCCCTTGCCGAACGAGAAATAACACGGATTGCCGGATGATACTTCGAAGTAACCCTAGCAATATCGAGAAGCTGAATCAGTCTATTAATTATCAAACAGTTAACGGGAATAATCGATCGAGGAACGGCCCGGTGAATCGGTGCCACGTCGTAGGGACACAGTCGAAACATTTTATCGATGAAATCGGTACGGGCAGCGAGAAGAAATTGACGCCTATACGGGACTCCCCTTTCTTAGAATCCTATACCCAGAGTCACGGTGTGATAACGGCGTCCGCGTACAAAGATCTACGAAACGGGACTATAAGATGGTAAAATGGCCAGGGTCCAACTTCCGAAAAAAAGAACGTTAATAATAATAATTCTCGTGTTACTCGTAAGAAAAAAATAATATATATATAATAATATATATATATATATATATGTAAAAGAATGTACGATTGGAATCAGATTCCTTCCTTTCGAAATCCTCGTAATGGATGATTCAACGTAACGGATGATTTGGCTTTGAGAATTAAATTATTCTGGAACAATTGTTTCTTCTTTCCTCCCTCTTCTTTCTCTAGCGAACGCGAGTGTAAATAATAATAGAGGAAAAAATAAATAAATAAATAAATGAATAAAAAATAAAAAAGTAAACGGCGAAACGAACAAGTGAATTGGCATGGTGAAAGAGCGACCGTTCTTTTTTTCGGAAGTTACGAACCCGGCTCAGGTAAAAAATAACGTTCCTTCCCTGAAATAAATTTTACAAGAAGCTAGATAAATTATTTAAAAAAAAAAAAAAGATAAAAATGTACAACAACAACAACAACAACAACAACAACAACAACGTATCGTGCAGTCGCACGATATATTTTCGAGTTCCTACGGGAATAAACTGCCGGAGCCTCATTAATATACATATAAACAAAGCCATCACAAGTGCAAGCATAAATAGCAAAATATAATATGATCTCGAGGCAAATGATACTTTAAGCTCTTAGGTAAGAAGAATTTTGCGATGTATGATCACTTTATAGTTCTAAGATAATAAACGGAAGAACATATTAAAAAAAATAATAATAATAATAAAAAAATAATACGAATATAGTCGATTTTTGAAGGTTCACGATTATCGAGTTGGATGATAAGTAACAAAAAAAAAAAAATAAAAAAAAAAAATAAAAAAATATAAAAAATAAGGACAAATGTATAAGTAAATAAAGATGGAGCCAATTTTCACGGGGCCAAAATGGCGTAACGATGTATCATTTTTTCATGGTATCATCGACATTTGTCCCCACCCCGCGAGAAGCTAGGATAATACAATCCTTCTCTCTTCGCGTTCATTGTTTATTCCTCGACTAATATGTAGCGTGTAAATTTCTTTGTAATATACCTTTTTTTGTGATACTTTTATGCGGCTATGTGGTAACGTCCAATTCGTATGTATTACCTGTCGTGGAATAAATTTTTATTAAAGGAATGCAACTTGTCCGCATTTTCTGCTCAAGATCAAAAGATTCTCCCGGCGGGGGAAAAAAAAATTGCGTCGTGCAGCAACGAGAATGTTCTTTTTCTCTGTTTCTTCTCTTCCACGTGTTTTCATTTTTCACCTCGTGACGTAATTCTAGGTCTCGTTCACGATCGTGTTTCTCTTCTTTCGAAAGTATTATCGTTAAAGCATGTATATATATATTATATATACATATTATTAATACAATGTTATCTTCTACTATTCAGATTTGTCAAGGCACGAGATAGTGAGTTACATAAATATAGAATTTCATCATAACTTACTTTTACTTCTACGTACTTTAACATGTTTAAAGAAATGCCACAAATTTTATCGTTCGTCGCATCAGATTTTAAAGAAATATAAATGTTTGCATGAATATCTCATTATATTTATCTTCAATTTCAATATAGTACTTGTGTTTCGAAACGCATCAAGATCCATCCTTATGCGTTATCATTTATATATTTCGTTCGATTAAATCTTTGCTAAAAAGTTCGAAAATTCTTATAAAACGGAAGAAAGAGAAAAAGAATTCCTTGCCTCGACAGCGTACTCATCCCTTGTCGGCCATCGATATCACGCTGGATTAATCAAAGTCTACGATTTGATCCGTACGATACGTTGAAACTACATATACGGAATACAAATCAGAACAAATCATACACGTTCTATTTCCAGAACGAGAGCAACATCATTATTGATTGATACGTATGCATAATGATTCTTGTGAAAATTAATGAAAGTAAAATAACCAATAATGGTATTATTCTTCAACAATAACCTCTTCGACGTTGTTTTAAATTTCAAAAAAATCGTGGGCACAATCGTTCCTCTTCGTATATATTTCGCAAAACCACTCATAGCCACGATCTTCAAGTCCAAGGAAATTCTTTTCGCTTCTATTTTTACGGAGGTCAATTCAATTCGAATTTAATTGAACCAGATAATACCATCAATGTCAATCCATAAAACGAACAAGTTTACTCAACGCAAACAAATATTTGCAAACCGTTTGTGTTAATTCAGTCTTGTCAGGATCTCATTACAACCCTTTTAGCATCCTTCTTCCTTATGGACGATACTTTCAAAGTTGAAAGAATGCGAATGACAAGGGTTAAATAGGGTGGAAAGTACGGTACGAAAAACTCGTCACTGTTTCAACATATTTCTCGAGCCTTATTTGCTTTCTCCACTCGGCCTCGGTTAACAAACTTACCCTTTAGCCCAGGCTTCCTCGTTAACTACGTCTACTCGCTTTCCTCGCGTATATCATTTAACGTAACATCACTTGATGTACACATACGGAATGTAGATCACCGGAACGAATTTCTTCTTCTTCTTCTTCTTCTTCTAAGAAATTAAATGTTAAAAAAATATCAAGTATTCCGTGAACATAATAATTTTATTATTTTCTTTTCGAGAAGATTAAAAACCATCCCAATTGAACTGTTACTCGATTTCACCGTTCACCTTTATATTCGTGCAATCTACATCTAATGTATATATATATATACATATATTAATAAATATTAATATTATAAATATATATATTAATAAATTTGCAGGTAAATCAGAAAATATTTCGAGAAATGATTCTCCGCTATTTTAATCGATCACCAATTGAGTCCTCTGTTTCCATTTACGCCGTCGATCTTTGTATGTACATCGAATATTTACAAACACATAACGACATATTCCGCATGTCTGTAAGAAATCGACTCTCACTAAAAACTCTCGTTAATCCTTAAATTAACTCGATAATTAACTCGGTTAACTCGAATTTTTTTGTTTATCAACGTTTTTCGTCCGTGATAACCAAAGTGTTCACAGGTTGAACTGCCTTGCTCTTCTCGCAACTGGTTTCCTGACTTTTCTTTAAGTGTACATGCCCGATCGCCGTGTCCGGCCTTCCTCTAAGACTTCGCAGCATGTAACAACGACGATGAGGGCTGTGCCTTGAGTAAAAGCTGTCGCAGCTGGTCGTGGTCGTTCGTCGAAGGGTTAAAACGGCGTGATTGCCACCGATCGGCAATCCACACCCGCATCCAGGTAACATTTTTTGCTTGCGAAGTAAGCTTCGTCTTATCGTGCCACTGGCACTGCCTGCGCACATATCATCGATCACTCCAGTCCCTTGAGCACCCTGGAACAATAGATCAAAACCACTAGAGGCGGTAGGACGCGTCTCTTAAAGTTATTGCTTCCTCTTTTCTTCTTTTTTTTTTTTTTTTTTTTCTTAAATTAATCGATTCTATGCAATATTTGATTAACAATAATAATATCGTTCACGACACGCGTTTTTCTAGTTTCTAATTCAATTTATTACTTTATGGAGGAAAGAAATTGTTATCGTTACATCGTTTTTTTTTTTTTTTAAATTAATAAATTCCATCGTGCTTGCGCCAATTTGTAAAATCTATTCGATAATGTTATCGTGTATAAATGTTTTATGTAGATTTATTATTCCAGGATAGAAATCGTTATTGCTTTCTTTTTTTTTTTTTCTTTTTCTTTTTTTAAATTATTCCATCCGTTTGTGTCAATTTCTGGAATTTACTTGATGATCTACGACGTTACCGCATTTCTAATGGATTTATTACACGAGAAACAGAGAGAGAGAGAGAGAGAGAGTGGAAATAAACGTTATAGACACAGAGTTTTAGAACTTTAATAGTATCCAACCGTGACACGATGCGTGTACACCGAGATCGTTAATCGAATTTGTATCCCGTGTAATGGAAAGTTAGCAAGTTCACTCAGCAAATGCTCAATTGGATACATGAATGTCAATTGTGGTTATTTTCGAAAAGTTGAAAGCGAATAAACCAGTAGCACATTAGTTTCTAAAAATCTAATCTCTTCAAAAACTTCACTTTGATACTCGTGATAATATTATCCATAATATAACAAACATACAAATATCTAGAGTATGAGAGTACGTCTGAGAGCGCGGACGTTACACGAGGAAAGGAATAACTTTACGAACGAATTATGTGTACATATGTTATACATCACGTCCATGTTTATTTCCTCGACAAAGATTTTACTAGTGCGGCTGCACGTGGAACCCGGCCAATTCTCGCAAATAGCGCGGGTAAATCCAAGAGGACGTGTCACGCTATGATTTCTCGAAGAATTTATCATTGGAATTCGTTAATCGGATAAATTGCGATACGTAGTGTACAAATTCCAGACGTAGAGGATTCCTCTTTTTATTTTCTCCACGACTGTCCGACCTCGTATCGTCGATCTTTTTCAGGTAACTGCTAAAGACTCGCGACGAATGCCGCAATTTCGATTTCAGGCCACGTGTCGTCAAATATCGAAAAACCCTTGAGGGAGATCGTCGAACTTAGAGGCGAGCCTTTTTTTGCGACCGTTTCAATATCGAGTTCGAACGCGATATTGATTAGAAATATTGAAAAAAAAAAAAAAGAAAAAAGGAGGAAGGAAAAGAAAAAGAAACTCGAGACTGAGTTTTTAATTTCCGTGTTTCGAGCGTCGCCAAAGAAGCGTGACATAGAAACGTTTTCATCAACATATGTACGCACCACCAATTGCACTTTACGCATACGTGTACGCCGTATGTTTGTAAATTTGTTACATCTTAAAAAAAAAAAAAAAAGAAAAAGAGATATCGCTACGTTTAAAAGTATATTTTCCATTTTTAAAGAAGTCTGTGGAATAAAACTAACAATTTCGATGTGAATCTCATATCGTTGACGAGATAGATACAAAAAGATTTGTTTTCTTTTTTAAATCGTTACATGGTGTGATCGGTACATGATTGGGGATCAAGGAAACTTACCCTTCGATGAGTCGTTCCACGTGTAAGCCCACAGGGGCTGTAGCAGAGGATCTCAGTCACGTTCTGACGAAAATTACGGGTCATAAAACAATACACGGTGGGATTCAATGCGCTATTCGCGTGTCCTAGAAACAGGCAATAGGAGAAAGCATTGTTCCACCCTTCCGCTTCTCCGTTCTCTGTCCCTCTCACACCTGCGAACAATTTCCAGTTTTATATCGAAATTTCGTTGATTCGATTTCTAGAGGAATCGAGTGATAAACCGACGTGTTCGATGATCACGTCTTCTTTCGCTGATACGAAAGGGTGAAAGTGTTAAAGTTAAAGTTAGCTTGATCGATCATTCTCAAACAAAATGGAATTAAATTATTATAGTATTTTATTAGTACTTATACAAGTATCGATCGAGAAATAGTGATTTTCCAACATTTTTATAAAGAATGATTACACTGATTACATTACACTAATAGTCTCTTAAGAGCATTAAAACGTTACAATTTGAAGGCTTTATATCGAAATTCGTCGGTTCGATTTCTAGAGGAATCGAGTGATGAAGCGGTATATTCGATGATCATGCTCTTTTGATGATATGGCTAATCAATTATTTTCAAACAAAGAGAAATAGAATTAAATTATTATGGTATTTTATTAGTATTTATACAAGTATCGAGAAGTGGCGATTTTCCGGCACGTTTTATAAAAAATGATTACATCCAAGTCTCTTAAGAGCATTAAAACGTTGCAATATCGTGGCTTTATAAATTCGATTTCTAGAGGAATGATAAAGCAACGTGTTCGATGATCTTTCGCTCTTTCGATGATACGAATTCAACGAAAGCGTGAAAGTTAAAGTTAAAGCCAATCAATTATTTTCAAACAAATAGAAATGAAATATTAAATTATTATTTTATTAGTATTTATACAAGTATCGACCGAGAAGTGGCGATTTTCCGGCACGTTTTATAAAAAATGATTACATCCAAGTCTCTTAAGAGCATTAAAACGTTGCAATATCGTGGCTTTATATCGTGGCTTTATCAATTCGATTTCTAGAGGAATGATAAAGCAACGTGTTCGATGATCTTTCGCTCTTTCGGTGATACGAATTCAACGAAAGCGTGAAAGCGTTAAAGTTAAAGTTAGAGCCAATCAATTATTTTCAAACAAATAGAAATGAAATATTAAATTATTACTTTATTAGTATTTATACAAGTATCGACCGAGAAGTGGCGATTTTCCGGCACGTTTTATAAAATAAATGATTCTCACTGATACTCACTGATTATATCCAAGTCTTTTAAGAGCATTAAAACGTTATACGGGAGCCAGCAGAGGGCAAAAAGCACAGCCAGAAGAAGCAGTATCCAAGCGATTCGCCTTCGCTCACGTACCAGCCTGAAACTCTGCGAACAGAATGCAGTTACGCTTTGGTTGTAAACGTTGGCCAGATTTAGATCAACATCGATTCATCGTCTAATCGTCGACAAGACGAGTACAAAGGCGAGCAGATATATCCGGTTTCGACAAAACCTATCGGGAAGAAATAGAAATGAAAATTTACAACGGAGGAAACGCGGCTGTTGAGCAAAGATACGAGTTAGAAAATCAAATAAGTGACGGTAAAAATAAAAAAAAGAGACAACAAGAGCAGAGGATAATTTTTTTTTTTTTTTTTTTTTTTATATACACGAGCTCGTCGCTCGAAACCCGTTTCCTTTCCTCGAATTCTAATTATTTCCGTATCCGCGCCTCCGTTGAATAGGCCTTAACGAAGCAAAGTTAGAAAATTAATAGGCATCGTTCGATCGAGATATGTATTCAATTAAATACTCGTAAAGCGCGCGTATCTATCCTTGCTACGACGCCAATTCTTCGGCGTTAGACGATTTTTCCTTTAAACGATCCTTGCATTGTCAAATTTCAAAATCATTGTTTCCAAAATTCTTGCTTATCGTGTTTCAACTAACCTGTTGCGAGCTGGCGCTTCCCTGGGCACCGTCGCAATCGAATGGCGGTTTCCTGGCGCACAGTGTACGGCCCATCATGATGTACGATAGCACCACGACGAATCCTAGGTAACAGAAATCGAGAAAACAGGATTGCATAGAGATTGAGAAAAATGGTAAAGCGATTATCCTCGTTTCACCCTTTCGAAAGGAATGAAACGTTCGAATTGAATTGAATTTGTTATTAATTGAATTTGTTATCAATTGAATTTATTATTAATTGGTCTTACCGGGAATAGCGTAAACCAGCACGAAGCACATGGTGCCAAAAAGCGGGGCCTCGATACCCACAGATTTGAAATCTTCCAAGCACATGTAGAAATACAAATCGGTGGAGATATTTTGCGCGAAATCCGACCCGTGAAAGGATATGTTCCTGAGTATCATGATACCTGGATTCTGAAGGGATGTCTGGAAAAGAAAAGGTGAGAAACATTCGTCGATAATTTTCTTTTTTTCGTTGATGACAAAGAAATAATGATGTTTAATGCTGAATGAAGATGAATATAAAACGAGGGAACGCTACTCTTTACGTAAAATGAGTATTTTATAGGCAAAAACGTCTTCAAAATACTAACCACTCTGAGAAGAGGAGCAAAGATGATCAAAGCGACCACCCAGAGAGCTATGATAACGAAGACCGTGCTCTTGCGGTTGAAAACTCGTCGAAAAGCTATGGGGCTTCTTATCGCTAAATATCTGTCAATGCTCATCGCGGTGATAGTAAAAACCGAGGCAGCTACCGCAACACCTACGAAATTTCAAATACGTGGATATTAACATATAACATAAAATGTTGGAACACCGGTTAATTAGAGATTCTTGAGCTAATTTTAAATAATCATTTTCTTTTACGAAAATTATTAACAAAAAACATTGCCAATCATAGAGTTCAAGCAACATGTGTCGAAAATCTGTTGAATATAACAAATATTTATCGAAAAAAATTATCTTATTCGTAGATATTGGACGAATAAATCGAATTTATTCAAAATGAACGATATGAAATTGCGTATAAAAAGGCAAATATTAAATTTCTCTAATAAATCAAGGATAAACAATACGTAAGGATATTTGGAAGAAGAGAAGAATGATAAAAAAAAAAGAGATGATAAAGGAGGATGATAAAAGAGGACAGTGATAAAAAGGAAGAGAAAGAAGAGAGTGATAAAGAAGTTGAAATTACCTCAAGAATCTCCAATTAATTAGTGTTAATCCTATATTTGAGTTGGGGGGAATAAATATATGTAAAGAAATATATCAAAGAAATTGTTATTTTAAAACCACTGTTATAAATGTCTGTCATAAATTCGATCCTTCAATAAAACGTTCAATTTTTGTTGGATTTGAATCTTTGTAGTTGAACGTGGGTGGTAAGGTCGTCGTCGGATAAAGAGAGAAATTAAAATTGAGCCCTAGTTGTGGAGGGAAACATTGAACCGCGATAAACGTGGATGTACGCGTGCGTGCAAGAACGCACACATTCCAAGTGAATCTTTTCTTGTACGCATCGCCCACGCCGCCTAAAGAGGGAGGGGGAGTGTTGTATCGCGACAACTCGAAGCTGCGAGACGTTCTCATTCATGTCACCTTACATTTCCGCGTGAGAGTTGGATAAAATAGGGATATGTATCTAAAAATATCACAAAAGAGTAATCGACGAAAAGCGATATTTATAACAACGTACAAAGATTCTAATCAATTTCAATCGGGCATAAAATGAAAGACAGATTGTTACAAGATCGTTGTTAAAATTACCCTGTAAGTAGAAGGAAATTTTACACATTATTTCGCCGTGGATCCATTTCATCGAGACCGCCTGGCTGACGGCAACCGGCATGCAAATCGTGGTCACCAAAAGATCCGCCACGGACAGATTAACCACGAAGTAATTAGTCACGCTGAAAATAATAAAGGAGTTCTTTTCGATCATCTTTGAATCATCTTCGTGTTCGCGTCAATCGATGCCCACACATCGTAAAAATTTATTGATTTTTATAAAGCACACAAGAGGATAAGATGGACTTTGGTAAGAATCTTAGGACAATCAATATTGGACGCTCATCGAAATACAAACGATATTTTATTAATATTCGGGTTCTCGGACAAGCAAACGAGATATTTTTTTTTTTTTTTTTTTTTTACGTTAGAAAATATACATACGTGTTTTCACCATGATTCGAGGAGGCGACGAATTTTATGCCGTGTCAGAAAATAAATAATTCGCGTACAACCGCTCGTTAAACATTCGTTTGGAGAGTTTTCGAGGAACGCGCACTCTCTGGATTATTGTTATCGTTGCAACGCGTTTTTGGTTAATATCAAAGTTTTCGCGCTCGTATTCACAGGGAACCCTCCGAAGGCGAGCAGAGAGGGCAACAATTTCTGCTTCATAAATAAATCGTGACGTTCGTTCACGTATCCCGACGAGTGCGAACCGATCGCTTATTTGCACGGATGCTTCATTCGTTGTCAGAAGTAAGCACACACTCTTACGTTTCTCCGTTTTCGAGCGAGAATGCTCGAGCTTAACACATTGTCGCGATTTTTAACGACCGCGTAAGTGAAATTTCGATCCGATCTTTTATTTATAAGAAGCACGATGAAATGCTAAAAAGAAAAAAAAATCGCAAGAAGATATGAATATTAATTAATTTAGAAAATTAATAGGCAACAAATAGTGACATTTAATTAACTCAAAGAAGAATATCAATATTATTAATGAAATTTTAAATCAAATTTTATTAAAATCATATTCGTGATTCTTTGTATTCATTTTTTTTTTTAATTCGTTACAACAATTGAACAAAAAACCACGAGATAAATAAAATTATTAATTTTTCATTCTTTCACGTAATGTGATATCACGTGCAAATCGCAACTCTTTTCTATTAATAAATTCGATTTACACTCCATTGTTTACTATTACTTCGAATACTATATTATTTATACATTCTTTTGAAATGCGTTGGAAATGCGTTGTTGGTATTTATTATACGCGTTCGTGCATCTTTGATTGTACCTGCCCTGACCCTAGTTTATCAGGAGTTAATCTAATTGCGTTAATTAATCGTCCCTCAACACCCGTTTACGTTATAGTTTTCGCCAAGTTCTTTCCAATGAAACTGGGTCAGGTGAGGTTTATCACGAGAATCGTCGTTTAAAGAACCAAGAATGATAAACGATTCACAATGGATGAGCGCGCAGAAGCTTCATTGCCATTATTTTGCGACGTGATCCAACGCGTTCTGTTTCGTTTCGTCGCTTCGTAAACTTTTCTCTTTTTTCGATAAACGATGGAAATTATAAAAAAAAGAAAGGGTAACACCATTTGGATTAAGAATAATCTTATAACGAGCCTCGCCCGAAGTTATAATTAAGTTCATTCACGATTTATTTATTTATTTTTTCTTTTTTCTTTTTTTTCCTGAGCGAAAGCGATACAACTCGATAATAATAATTGTGAAAACCACGACAAAAACATCAACTTTTTCGTCGACCGTTTCAATCGACTCGTCGTCACATAATAGTCGAATCTCGGTTGAGAAACTTCGTTTCACAATGAAAAGTCTCGCAAAGTTTAAATTACTACGAGCGAGGAGTTAATCGCCTTGTCTTCTATCGCGTTCCTCGAAACTTTCTCTCTCTCTCTCCCTCTCAACTTTGAATTTCGTTAAATATTCTCTTTAAGAGTTACAAAGTAAGAGATTAACTTTTAATCGAATTGCGTTAAGTAAGTTTCACAAAATCTAATTATTTCTACATACCTACGCATGTAATGATACTTGAAAACAACCGCGATGACGAGAATGTTGGCCGTCACCGCGAGCGCCATCACGAAAACATAGAGGACGATCAACAAGTAATTAGTCTTGCCTTGAAACTTGGCGAGGAGGTGACGAATTATATCCTCGGAATCTATGTATGAGAATATCATCTCATCGTTGTACGCCGAGCTATTAAATTCCAACCAGGAGGGTGTTGATATCATCATTCTCGAGTTCACGTCGTTCACGTTTCCCTATTTTATTATTTTCTCGTTTTTTACAATCCATCAAACTCCTTTATATAGGATTTCACGAAGGGTAATTTGTTCCTCTAACGGGAATGGATGGCACATCTGACTTCCGGTTGCTCCGGTTTCGGACCGAAGACAAGGAGGGTCATTGGATCGACGATGATAATTGATCGCTCGAGAAGACGCGTTTCGTAATACTTTGCTATCGTAATTACCGTTTTACCGTGTCACCGTTCGATTAAAATAAATTTTTATTACGCGATTATAAAGGGAATCGTGTCAGTGTCATAATCGAGTCATCGCGCATTATTAAGAAAGGAAAGTCGAATTCAACTCCTTCAACAACTTTGTCTCTGTTATTCCGTTTAATAATATATTTAATCCATTTCCACTTTCGTCGATGAAACGCTTTTCGTATATATTTCGTCGAAATCAAAATTTATACGTAGTTATAATTTTTCGACCAAGTCGAAGAAAAGTTTATAATTCGTCTATCACGTGTGAAATTATAGGCGGAATTTCGTGGCTATTTAAAAAGAAAAAAAAATCAATTCAAAGATATTGTTCTTGTTAATTCGTATAATCTTGTAATAATAAATATAATACGATCGTTAATAACGAGAATTTTGTTATTCATCATTTAATTCCAGAACATCAACGGAGAAACTGAATTCTAATTGAAAGATAAGTCTGTGAAATCTCGCCTCTCTTTACCCCTCAGTGTCTTTTCTCTTTTTTTTTTTCTATCTGATTCAAATTCAAAGTCACCCTGTATAGTCACGACAGGTTTTGTATCTGTGATCTAACCATCGTACATATGTCTACGATAAATAATTTTATCTGCCCAGCGACGAGATAACAAAAAAAAAAGGTAAATAAATTTGAAGGAAGTATCCGCGATATCCTCGCATTTTATCAATGTTTCGGAAAATTATAAATAATGCAAAAGTAATACGACGATTGATGATGGTTATTTTTGATAGACAGAGAACGCGATGTAAAATGTTTACATCGAACGAAATGTGTCAAAGATTAAAAAATTCGAATTTTTCGTAAAAGATCGAGGAAGAACGAACGAAATAATTAACGTAATTGTAGAATGTTTGCAAGTGGCGATTTTTTTCACGTAGCACGAATTTACATTTATTTTAAAAAAATATAGCCCGTGCACGTTACACACACAACATCCACTCGGCAAAGCTCTTAAGAAATTTACATGGAAAGAAACATTACGCAAATGGAACCATTGCACGCGTAGTTTCAACAATTCCTCTATGCGCTCGTTTTAAATATTTACTTTCTCGAGTAAAACTAAACAGGTTCGCGTGTTGAGTATCAAACAACCGGTATCTTTTAACCTTTTAAAGTCTTCTACTTTCCGCCAATTATTCTACCGATTTGTCTTCACCCATTCCAATTAATTCGAGCCGTTAATGATCAAAACACGTAAACTCTTCGTCACTTCGCATTCGAGTCGAGGTTTTTTTTCCGGCAACGATTCGGTTTCACCTCTTCCCTCGACCCTTTGGTAAACACGATCATACACACCGTTCGTGTTTCACTATTTCCACCGTTAATTTTCTACGAGAAATCCTACGAGATTCCTTCGCCCTCCCGGCGAAGAATAATACGCGTGAAAAGTTTCGGAAGCGGGGCCACGATAAACTGAAAGGAAGAATCGCAGCTCCCGCCGGCGCTCTTGAAAGCATTAGAGACGTTGGACACCACTCGCGCACGTTTCCTTCAATCGCGCGCCTGCGTTCTGTACGTTCTCTCTCAATCTTCTCCTTCCCGCTTCCTGTGTTATTCTTCGCAGGAGATCTATCGAAAAATGTCCAGATCCGGCTTGATCCCCTTGATCCATAAAAGTTCGGCAGACGTCATTACCGGAAAGGAACATCGCTGTTAAAATCATCGTGTTCCCCTCATTCGTCCCCACCATCCATCCCTCTCGCGTTACACGTGTCCTCTTCTTCTTTTTTTTTTCTTTTTTACGTGCCCTTTTTTTCGATTCGATTTCCAACGGAGCAAATTTTCCCCCGCGTATAAACGTGATCCCAAACTGCGAGTAAATCTCGTAATATATTTCCACGTGATATTACGCGTGATGTAGTATGCGAAATGAAATCTCGTCGTGTGTACGTGGAGAATCATTGCTGGAAAGAATCGAAATGTTTTATTTATTATGAAGAATTTTTCTATATCTAAAGGAATCGACGAGTGGAACTGCACTTTTGTTGTTCAATCAAGGTTTGAATAAAGATTGAATCTTTCATCAAACTTTCGGATAACGCGTGATTAACTTGCAACTTTTATTTTAACGAACCTGTATGAATAATATCAGAATTGTTGGATGGGTAATCGGGATATTCATATTTAATTAGATTTCGTTCTTCGTTTCTTTTTGATAGATGAAAAACTTCGTTTTATCTTCGAAAATAAGGAAATTACGACATGTTTTAATTAAGTAAACGAGTCAATCGTTTAAACCAATAAACTTTTATTCTTGTTAAAAATATAGAAACTGCATTCAATAATTCACAAAAACAAAAATAAAGAAAGCAAAACAAAAGATTTTCAATTTCAAACATATTTAAACATTTGGCTTTATTTACAAGTAATAAAGTCGTAAATACGCAATCTTGTTTACTTAATAAATACAATAATATCGTAAGAAGCTTTATATATTGCGTTCTTTCGTCAATCATATAAATCACTTCTCTTTTATATCCTCATATGAAACTCAGTCCACAAGTACGAGTGTCCGAACTCTATGAAGGAACGGTATAAGATACATTGATCAATAAATCAATGTACATTGTTCCAATGTGTCTCGTGAATATACTCACAAAAAAAAAAAGATGAGACAAAATTCACACATATTCCGTTACGACGGCGAGTCGATCGCATCTATTGTCATCCTCGTGTCGCTTCACATTAAAGGTCAACGGATAGATATGCAAGATTAATGCTTTCCTTTTCTCTCTCTCTCTCTTCCGTTTCCTATTTCGTACCTGTCTTGCTAATGCAACTTTTGTTACGATTCTTTAGATGGAATCGAAACGATAAAAGTATCGTGGAAATCTTGGAGGAAGTTTTTTAAGTAAGGATCACCAAGTACGTTGTTATCGCTGAGAATATCTGTAAAAAATATATAAAATCAAATATATTTCAGTGAAACACTCGATTATTTATCCTCGCGTCGTTTCTTTTCTTTTCTTTTTTCTTTCTTCTTTAACAACTTTTTATTTTCGTTCGTTGAATGCTCACCGAAAGCAGAAGAGGAAGATCGACGCGTATTAAACCAGCAACGGTAAAAATGTGTACTTTCCTTAGTTGAAAGTAAGCCGCTGCTTCTATATTTTCCTGTAATCAGAATCAATAGAGATCTCATAGAATACAAAGGCTCGAAGGAGCGTTCGCTTCGTTAAGAGCGAGGAATCTAATTTAAAGTAATTGATCGTTCAAGGGAAGAAAAAGGAGGAATATAGGAAGAGACGGTTTAGAGGAAATAATGAGAGAAAAAGCAAGTTGCGAGAATGTTATCATATTATCTAAAACTTAAAATTTCATCGAGGTTCTTTTATTTTTTATTTGTTTCTTGGAGAGACAAAGAGGGATATAAAGGAGTAAGGTTCGAAGAGTAAAGAAAAAAAATTTAGATCGAAACGATCAACGATCAACTTTTATTAATACCAGAGTACTGCTTACCTGTAAATGTAAATTCGATTTCAGAGAAACGGAAGAGTAAGGTGAGAAAATAAGCTTGCCGACACGATTCGCCTAAACAAATAATAATCGAGTTATATCGCCATACGTGTGGCGTTCGGGAAATTTCAGTTTGGTTTAGAGAAAGATCTACCTGATGAGCTGTCATGTGACACACGGTGGTAATCAATACGAGGTTCCACGCGCAATCAGTCACCAGCATTGATTCCCTGATCTTCCCGTAATCCGATAATTTGAACACTTTCAACGAATAAATCCTCGACATCAGGTTGAACGACATAGTCGAGATCCAAAACAACAACTGGATCGCGTATACGGAATTAATTATTTCGGTCGCGTTCGCTAGAGAACAATGAAGCCACCATATCTGTTGTAACATCGAATGCCTAATTGATCGATGCGCCTCTATTATCTTGTCAACTGGTAACAGGTCGGGGAAAAAACGATAAAAATAATTGTTTGAAAATAGGAGCACAAAGGTACGATTAAACATTCATTCAAACTCGTTAACCCGCGTCGCTCATGACACGATTAAAATCCTCGATAAAAATCCTACGATTTGTACTGTCATCGAGGAAACTGTGATCGAGACAGTATCGATTCGTATAAAATGAGTATCGAAGAAATTTTCGATTTCGTTCGATAGGGACGCGTGATTTTCATGATTTATTGTTGTTTTAAACGAAAGATCAGATTTTCGTATGAATTTGTAAGAAACAAATTTCAATGATAATAATCAAACATACGAACGAAACAGAATAAAATAAGAATTTATAGAGTGCCAAGATTCTTTACTGTGCAACATGAAGGAAGAAAAATATATAGATTAAAGAAAACGATCGACTACGATTAAACGATGCATAAAATTGATCGAAAATAAATAAACCCGTGAACTTTAATATTGTATATCCGTTTAAGAGATAAATAAGAAATAAACTCACCCTTAGAGAATTCTATCATTGAGCAGAGATGACGGAATCGTTCCTCGATAAGGAATAAAATGCACACGAATATCAAAATTTGTGTATTCATCGAGGCATCCATGATGAAGTAAATTATCCCGCGAAAAATTGGCACTCTCGACTCGATTCTATAAAAAGGAAAAATCTAAATAAATATCTATATATCTAAATATTAAAAATCTCAATAAAATAAAATTTTTATTGCGTATACATTTAACGTTTCGATAATTGCTTCACAAATGTTTAACGATTTATGTTGAACACATTTATATATTTATACAATTTCTCAACAATTCTAATCGAATTTGAAATAATCCTACTTTATTTTCAATTTTTAAACGATAAAAATTTGAACATTTATACGATATAATATATAACTATCGTAAAATTCGATGTTCGATTCCTTTTTTACAACATCTTACCTGTACGTGAAATATCCTACTATCGCCCAATATGAGAAACTGACGAACACTGTGACATGACAAATGATACGCAATTTATTTCCTTTTGAAAAATCACGAAATTTTGTAGCTCGATCAAAATTACGTAACTGCGATAAAACGGATCGAATCTTCCAATTCCATAAAGTTGTCACCGATGCATCCGTGAACAAGCACAAATAAATAAGAAATACTCTTATTATGACGATAAGCATGCTTTTTAAATCTGAATCTTCGTACGAGAATACATAAATGTACATTACTACGAGACTAATTAAATACAGAGTCATTGAGAAAACGATGAATATTATATCTCGAAGTCTTCTCGCTTTTACATTGTCCTTTGAAGCACACAGAGCGGTACATCCTAATATTAAACCGGCATTAAAAATCGAATTTGTATCTCCAACGAGCACCATTATTTCTGCAAACTTCTTTTTCTTTTTTAGATTTTAAAATATTATGTTATATTTAATTCAAAAATGTAAATACTTCAATAACGATATATTATAACTGAACGATAATTGACGAACAGTGTATAATTTTTGTTCTTATTCATATACAAAATATTAATTGTAATATTCTAAATAGTGAAAGCGAAACATGTGCGTCAGACGAGCAATAAATATCGTTTAATACGAAATCTGAAGAAAGGTTCTACATCGATTTTGTAATCAATGGATAACGTATTTATAAGCAAAAAGCAAATAATGTTTTCATTGATATTAAAGAGCTTAAATACGTAATGTTTTTACATGAAATCAAGATCTAAATTTGTTTCATAATTCAAAAGAATGAAAAAATGTACATATGGTAAATATAGGCAAGTTTGAAATGACATAATTTCAAATACAATTTCAAGTGACGTGTTATTTCATTTCATCATTATATACATAATTTTTTTTAAATCTATAAATATTTTTGAAATGATATTTAAAACTTTTTCAAATAACATATTATATTTATTATAATTTAAATATTCTCCTAATGATTTATCAATTTTATTCGAAGTATATTTTGTTTTACAAGATCCTCGATCTAAAGATATATTATAAAACCGAAAATATAATAATTATATTTTTTATGTTAAAAATTAAAATATATAATAATTTTGAAAAAAAAATTAATGAAAATGCGTTTAATTAAGATCCTGTATTTTTTTTGTGATTAATTATGACAAAATTAGATAAGATAAATAATGGAAAAAGGACATATATAGGAAAAATTAAAGAATTAGTATTATCTGTAAAATCCTATAAATTAAATATATAAAAATAGAGTAATAATTAAATACAGTGCCATCTATTGAATACTTTATCTTACCCTATCTTTTAAGAAATAAGAAATGTCTTTGACATTTAAGAGATAGCGCTGATAGTAAATTCTTATCCTATCTCTATCCTTCTCACATTATCTCTACATATGTTTTATTTATGGCATTCTGGTGATAGCATTGATTCCAATATTTTTAAACTAATTCTTCTATTGCTCTTCAATTATTTGCCCTTTTTGTTTATGCGATCTATCATTCTATCATTAGATCTAATTAATCCAATTAATCTAATTAATCTAATTTCGATATCTGATTAATTTTATTGTCTTTTTATCTGTTCTATTGATTAAAAATTTTAACAGAAACTATGCATTTGCATTCTTATATATCGTTTTATTATCGTATATGTAGCATCTTCGAAGTGATAAAAGATATTTTGTTCTTCTTGTACATTTTTTAGTCTGTGACTTTGAATACTTCCTTGCACATTCTGTTATGCTAATAATAAGTCAGAGCTTTGAGAATCCAAACATGAGATGGCACTGATCTTTGAAATTTTTTTATAGCTGTTTCATTTATCAACTTAATGTAAGTAAATAAATATTTATTTAAAAATTCATAAAATATAAAAAAAACAATCATATCACAAAAATATCACAAAAATTATGTAATGTTGATAAAAACTTATTCGGAAAATAAAAAAAAAAACTTAAATTTGTATGCAAATATACTAAAACAAAATACTCGTAGAAATATTAGAAAAATCATAGAAAAAAAATTTATTATATATAAAAAAAAAAAGATTAAAAAAAAAAAAGCTAAATAAGATAAAGATATAAAAATATATTTAAAATATTTAAAATATAAATGGAAAATATAAAAATGAAATAGTATATATAAAATATATTATGAAATGTAAAGATGTAAAATATATAGTATATAATATAAAATATAATATAAAATAAATAATAAATAATATATAAATATTAATATATATAAATATATAATAAAATTTATATATGCAACATAGAAATACAAAAATATATATATGTATATATAGAAAAACTATAAAATATATATATTTTCCTATAAATATATATAAAAATGAACAGATTCCTTACATAATTTTAATATATACTTGTAATATAAAATTTACAACAATAGAAATGACAGCAAATGAACACGTTTTTTATTTCACAATTTAAAAAATTATAATTAAATGAATATAAAAATATTATAAAATATTATAAAATATTGTTAATGTTATTTATGTTTAAAATATTGAAATAAAAAGAAATTCATATTTATACGTATTGACTTGTACATATTGACCGTCATATTATATGCATACTTACGATATAATATTCAGAATCAATTCACAACTGAATTTGTTGTTTAATTTTATTTTTCATAATGTATAAATTTCATTCCTATTTTCACTAAATTTGTTAATAAATTTCCAATATTTTAATTTAAACATTATAATTTAGATTATTTTCGAACAAATATTGACTAATCTTTCAATTACGAGGTAGTGTTCTATGGTTCTAAGAGAAATTGACTTGATCATCTGGATGTTATAGATATTTATTAACTGCTTTAATTAAAATGTAAGATAATATTTATCCAATCTTCATTATTTTTAATAAATCAAAAAATTTTTTTGTAATATGCGTGTTTACGTATGTATTCATGAAATATGTCGTTATATATTGTAACCCAATTTAATAACTGAATTTTAGCTAAAATATATTCTTTGTTATTATATCTTAAAATAAACAAAATTAAATTAAATTAAATGTGTAGAATATAATTATTGTATAATATATTGTGATATGTGTTTATATAAATATAAATACAAGAAGAAAGAAAATATATATGTATATACTATATGCACAGTGAGTACTTATTAAGTGGTTAGTATATCTGACATTGAAAATTATTCTACTTATAATTTGATTGTGAATAAGTTTTACTACAAATGTATGATTTTCAAATAAATTTACATTGTAAAGTTTTAATATTTTAGAGTCAAAGATGCCTGGAGAACCATCTATGAGTGGAAATAAGAGCTCTGGAAAAATTAAACGCATTTCTATTCCAAGAGTACAGAGTAGCACAGATACAGAATTGCAATCACAAAGTGGATCTACTCCATTACAACCAACTGCACTTCACTATGCAGCATTTCGTACAGATCCTGATGAAAGTGTATTGCCACCAACTTTAAGATGTCGACTTTTTGAATTATTTCAACAAATAGAAAAAGAATTTGAAGTTCTTTACACAGAAAATTTAGGATGTATGAATATTAATTTTTTTATATAATATTTATTATAAAATATTATATTATGTATATATTAAATTCAAATTCGGAGAAAATATTTTTTTTCATTAGGAAAACAACTTTAAATTTAATTATTAATTAAAAATTATATTTATTGATCCAGTACAAGAAAAAATAGATACTCTTAGTGAAAGACTTGAAAGAGAATGTTATGGTTCTGGAGAACGGAGTTTACCTCTTGGAGATGTTGCAGACTTTCCAGATACAAAAGGTCTTTCCAAACAAAAATGTAAGAATGTTTAAAATTAATAAAATATGATAAATAATAATTATTTTAAAAATTTCTCTCAATTATTAAATTAGATTATTATATTTATGTTTATAGCTATGGCAGGAAACTCAGCACCAAAAACAAAAACAACTTCTAATAAGTTAAAAGCTCAAACTAGTAAAATAGTTTCTAGTTTTAAAACACCAACAATGACTTGTAGTATGCAAAGAGAATATTCTGGACATCGAGATGGTGTTTGGGAAGTTTCTGTTGGAAGATCAGGCCAAATTATTGCTACAGCTTCTGCTGATCACAGTGCTAGAGTCTGGGCTGTTGATAGTGGACGTTGTTTATTGCAATATATTGGTTTGTTTTTATTTAAAATTTTATATTTTTTATTGTAATATAACTTATTTTAATTTATTTTATTAAAAAATAATATTCTTATTATTTGATAAATTAACATTAGAAATATTATTATTATTTTTATATAAAATTTTTTAAGTTTTATATATATAATCAATTTTAAAAATTTTAATTTTATTTTTACTTATTTTATTAATTTCAATATTACATTTCAATTGATATATTTTTGGAATAAATATGTACTAATATGTATATTTTATGAACTAAAATAAAATTTTTCATTTTATAGGTCATTCTGGTTCTGTTAATTCCATACGTTTCCATCCTACCAAAGAGTTAGCACTCACATCAAGTGGAGATAATTCTGCTCATGTATGGCAAGCTGCTGTAGATTGGGATTTACCTAAAAGACAGAATTCATCTGAAGAACTTTCAGGTTTGAGTTCTGATAGAAATCTTAGTGGAGTG